CGAGACTGGCTTCTAGCTTAGCCAAGGAAAGCCTCAGAATGTTATCAGTCGAAACCGACACCGAACGAGACTATTATTAGGAGAAAGATGTGCCCTCTTGACCGGAATTGAGTGTATAGCAGCGGATGGATGGCTAATAGAGCCATACTTCGTGGCACTAGGCATAGTGTATCTCGAACGATGGTACGAAGGCGATACCCTACCAGATGAGTCACGAATCGCAGTATCGCCGTCTGGATATTCGAATAGTATCCTCGCAATCCATTGGCTTCGTTTCTTCTAAGAATATATACGTTATCGTGTGTGTGGTGGTTAGCGACTACTACTCTTCGATGGTAATAGCTCATACCTTACCTAGGAATTCCTCTATCTATGCGAATAGTGGGATATTATCGCCTTTATCTTTCCTCCGCATACCACGTATATCGTTTAGCCTCTCGATGGTAGCCCGTTTCGCGCCTTAAAGGAGAGATGCCGCGCGAAAAATAATATAATCGCCTAGTGGGGTAGAGATACGAGGGATATTGGTATCTTCTTTCGCGAGATTACTGGGATTCGACAGTAAGTAATAACGTCCCGTAAGATTCGGAAGGCATTCGCTAATCGTAGTGTTCATCCATTTAATCCAGCTCCAGTCATTCAACGCCTCGATGCTACAAGATCGCCTACGCCAGAGCTTCACTGGCCTACTAGGGACACCCCGCCGCCTCGATTATCCAGTTTACCAAGTTCCCCACCAAAATCCGCGGCCCAGGCACGCCATACATAACGGAAGATATCTAGGATAGCCGATCGCGAGGGTATTAACCTAGATACTCGCTGGCAGATCAATCGGCTTTCTCGTCAGGTTATACAGATAGCAGAAGAGATTAGCCTTCTAACGTCTACTATTCAGCACTAACTCCCGCCTATGCCTTCAAAGGCTCGCAAGTCACGGGAAGAGATCGGTAAAATCGGTGCTGTAACTACAAAGCATGCAAAGCGCCATGCTACGACGAAAAAGGAGAAAGAACATGCGGCAAGCGTACGGAAGGGTAGGAAAATGGCACCTCCAAGTGTGCTTTTAACCCCTGAATCGGCTACCGGAAGAGGCTGAAAGTGCAGAGACATCAAGCAGACTACCACTGGATCCTGTATACTACTTCAATACCGATTATCTATAGCGGTGGGTGGAGGAATAAAGCCGAATAGCATCAATAATTACGTTGAGGTGTGGCGGACCTACACCCAAGCGGTGTGGGTATGCTACGGGACTATTACTTAATAGTAATAAATGAACTAAAAAAATAAGCTATCAAGTTCGCTAATCCTATCCTCGGCTGTGCTTTTCCTTGGCGCCAGAAATATTTATTAGAAGCTCAGCGGCAACCTCTGTTTTTGGAAGCTTTATATCTCGGAGATATGGGATTCTTAAACAAACAATGAGTTCGTGGATGCCAAAAGTTCTGATCGTATTGACAGTTCATAGTGATGATCTTTGCTCTTTCGTGTCTGGGATTTACTGTAACCGCGATGTAGAGAACGACTCTAATTTCAGGGTTTTCAAGGTCCGACCCGCTTGTCTTGGTAAGTGTCTCACCCGGAGCGCTCGGGGCTAAGAGACAGAAAGCTTGGCGTAATTCAATGAAACTGCTAGTAAATTTTAAGCTCCCGTCCGTGCGATAGGGCAATCCTGCCAGACGGCATTTAAGTCCGTTTTATTTTCCGGGGAGCGGGTTCAAGTGTACCTTGTCAAATAAGTACTAGTACTAGTATAGGACACATAAACTCAGATCATAATATGTATGAGAATATCCCAAGAAAGAATATATCTCAAAAAGTATTTAGAGACATTAAACATGTTTGGAAGATTCATTACGGAAATCTACCTCTCTAGAAAGGCTATAGATAAAAAATACTACACACCGGGCAGATACTATATACTAGATTCGAATAAATAAAAATACATAATTAAAAGACTGCAATAAGGAGCCGGATACCTGGATATACTCGGAACCTCTTCTAGTATGCATAACAGATATTAATTGTTTGATCTGGAGGTTTAATTTTATTTCGCCCCTTCCCGTCTTTTCCTCCACTTGTTCTAAGTGGTACAATTTCAATTCTTAGAGCCGTAAAGACTAGAAATGTGTAGCGTATCTTAGAAATAGGCGAGATCCACGCTCACAGGAATGCCTAGCACGAAGGTCTAGTTAAGCCATAAACACTTAAGCCTTGGCATGTGGCTTGGCAATCCAATGGCTTAGCACCTTGACATTGATGGTAGCACCTATACCACTATAGAGTTTTAACGAACGATATCGAGGACTCGCTACGCAAGGCTAGCTAGTTGTGTTATTACTAAGAAAATTACACCTCGCTTAGACAGTACCGGGAGTTGGCCGACGCCAGAAAAGAAAGGTGGAGAAGGTACTTAACTCAACGACAATATGTGAGGTTGGAAAGAAAACTAGCGTCCTTTGAAATATGTTAAGGTATGTAAGGTCATATCAACTAACTGCCGTTAGTGCAAAGTATAGCCTCCTCGGTTGTAGGTTTTCGATAAGTTGCATATATGCCTAAGTCATCGAAATAAAGTCTTCTGGTCATTAACGAGATTGTTTTTTCCGCATTAAATCAAAAACAGACTTGCCTCCAGGATGTTTCGGCATCTTTTTGGGGCCTTATGTCTCTTTCTTTTACTCGGGTGTTTACCTGGCATATCAGCTTCTTGTCGGCCGTGAAGGGAGGCGGATACCACGAAGCTTTTCGTGGCACGGGGTACGCTTTTGTAGATGCTTCCCGACCACGGACCGTTGACTACCCGACCAAGGAAGGCTTGATCGGATAAAGAAAGAAAAGAATAAGATAGAGTGCAAAGGGCTTATGCACTCTAAATAAGCATAATCCATAATCCTCAAATAAAGGACTAAGCAGAAGGTATTTCTAAGCAGATAGAAAGGGATACTAGAATATTTGAAGAGAGTGAAAGGTCTATCATTTCTACTTGGTGTCTCGCGCGTATTTATAGACAGAAAGTGGTCAAAGTCACATGCTTTATATCAGATAAATAGGATAGAATCAGGGAAGGAAATGTGATAGAACTGATGGCGTGATGAGGGATATGTCATCGATCTGGTGGGGTAAAGAGGGGTAAGCGGTTTGGAGGGGTAAATCATGTTCGCATCTCTTTCTTTTCTTCTTCTTCTTCTTATGTTAAATAAAAGGATACCTTCACCTAATGTAGCATTGGTCCAAATTCCAACAGTATGTGGCCGAGCTCACGGGCATTAAGATGGGACTTGAATAACTGGCAAACCAACGGAATCAGATAAATGAGGACAAAGTCAGAGAATTAGTGATCTTCTCTGACAGCCAAGCTGCAATTAAATTCTTGTAGAACCCAAAGCGACCGTCTGGTTAGTACATGCTGAAGAGTATCTACAGCCACGTACGGGCTATTCGGTCGCGGCGAACACCCACATCGATCACCCTACGGTGGATCATAACGTATGTAGGAGTCTTTGGCAATGAACTTATAGATGAGGCTGCAAAAACCGCCACACTGTAGGGTGCGGGCATTCTCTTAAGGTGCGGGTGCGGGCTCGGAGAAACATTTTGTCCGGCTTGCCTTCGCGGCGAAAAGATACGTCCGCTAGCGCATTAAGGAACGGTGGAATAGATAATAGGAAAGGGAGAAGACGGCCATACCGACTAAGCGCCTATTCAAGGCGCCGAGTCGTAAAGCATTGGAGTTATACGAGGGATTGTCCAAGCCATACGCATTAATCCTCATCTAGATAAGATCAATGTGCATTGGCTTAGGGCATTTCTTATACGAAATCCAAGAAAGGGAATCAGATCGTTGTAGTTATAAGCAGGGATCTCAAACACCGAGACATATCCTGCTACAGTGTCCGCTGTACAATAATCTGCGGCGGACCATGCTTGACAAGATCGTTCGCACCGATCTTAGCAGCACTACGGACTACGATACAATCGTATCTCACCCGCGCGTGGCCCGCTATGCCGCTGCGATAATGCATCAAGATGGTCTCCTCAGTCAGTTCCGGCACGTGGAAGTGGAGCCGGACTCTGATGATGACAATAACGATGACCACGAACAGATCGGCCTTGCGGCCATAGGATAGGTTATGAAGACGCTGTGCATACACCACCGAATATTAAGACCGACCACCGAGAATGGGCGGCACTCAACCATTACCGATTCACTAAGCTAACGTCATCAAGTGAGAATCTGAAGCACCTAGAGATAGGACTGACGAACGAGAGGGGGGAGCATGCCACGGGACGAGGGGATGCAGAAGGAGTGGAATACTGTGGGCATAATACTTTTGGGTCTGATTTTATATGGGGTTTTCTATGCTTGGGATTTGGATTTAGTACACTCTTTTCTGTAGCGGCCTCCTGCGGAAGGCCGGTTTTCCTTTGTATGACTGTTTATTGCAAGCCGCGAGTCTGGAGTTAAGGACACCAAGTTCTGCTTCGGATTTGGACGAATCGCCTGCATAGCCTCGAGGCATCTAGTTAGGCTTTATCAGGTTAATAGAACTTTGATTGATTGATTGATTGATTGATTGATTGATTGATTGATTGATTGATTGATTGATTGATTGATTGATTGAGAAGCTAAGAGAAGGCCACCTGAGTAGACGATTTCCTCACTCATCTAGCCCTTATATATACTCAATCAATAGTGGAGTGTTAACTGAGTGAGAAAGGAGGAAATCACATAATTCGCACTCGGTAGCATTACATGTTACTCCTTAAGAAATAATAAGCAAAGAAAATTCAATTCTTCCAATCAAAACCATCTATCATGTTGAATGACATAAAAAGGTTGTTCCCACAAGGAAATGAGAAGTAAATACATAGAGAAATCTCCACCTCAAGAATAATATAGCTTCTTGACCAACAAAAGAGATACCTTCTATAACGACCTAGACCTAGGTCATGGCTTTTATGAGACAGCAACTCGTATTAATCGCAGTCATCCCCATTTAGTGCTCAGGAACTTCCTGCGTGGAGCAGTGAATGCCCCCGCCTAGGAATGGCAACTGATCGAGGCGTACAGTCATCACCTGACGATCCTTATATAGGTCACGGATGATCTTCAAGGCCGCGGCATCCGCCTTCTTATCCCCAAATTGGGGGAAGATAACTCCACCATTCACGAGCAACCAATTGACGTAGCTCAATGAAGGGTAATCCTCCTCTGAACTTTCGATATTCTTCAAGGTACCTCGGTCCAATCCTAGCGAGTATAAATCGGCCTCAACCATTTCGATAACCTCAAGGCGTCGGCCACGAGAATCTGTTGCGTTGGAGAGAATTAAACGGGCTTCCGTAAATACTGTGGAGAATTGACTATCGTCAAGAGTGTTCGGTTTGCTGATAACGACTTTTCCTGGCGCGACGAAGCGCGCGAGACCATCAACATGGCCATCAGTAATATCACCGCCTTTAACACCGGGAAGCCAGATAATCTTTGAGACACCAAGCGTTCGCCGCAACTCATCTTCGATCTGTCTCTGGCTTTTTCCTGGATTCCGGTTCTCGTTGATAATCGAGCTCTTAGTGATTAAAAGAGTACCGTCTCCATCGACCTCAAGCGAGCCTCCTTCTGTCACAAGCCAGGTCGAAATCCGAGTGAGGTCCATATTATCGCAGACCTGAGACGTAAGGGATTTAGAAGCATTGACCGGGTATTTATTACCCCACCCATTAAAGTTGTAGTCAACTCCCGAAAGGTGACAACCTTCAAACACGAAGGTTGGTGCCATATCACGCATCCAGAGGTCAAGCTTAGGGTAGTCATAAATAGGCTGGATGATAATATCGTCTGCGTCGTGCTTAAACCGGTTCTTTGCCTCCTTAAGGCGGTCTGGGGTGACGAGTAGAGTAACTTGCTCAAATTCAGCGACTGCCTCGGCAATAGCTGAAATATCTTTGGTGGCAGCAGCGAGATCACGACTGCCACCTTTGTCCGCGTAGGCGTCGTTTTCGATGGATGGCCAGGCCATAATGATCTCATCATGACGGTCCCATTCTGCAGGACGATACATAGCCGATGCGACAAAAGTTTGAAGCTGAAGGAGAGCAATGAAGAAACGTTTGGGGCTCATAGAGGCGGTTGGGGAGTGCTCTTCTTTCAGGCCTGCGAAAGAAGTAAACCAGTCTTTTACAATCCTTTTATACTTTGTCATTTAGAGCTATAATAGGTCAATGTTGGTGCCTGGCGTGCGTATTCGAGAGATTCTTTCAGTCGGTTCTCTTGGCGATATTTCTGATTGGCTTTTTATGCGGTGAACGAACCAGGGTCGAGAAGTAGCGCATGTAACGCCACAGCCCCCGATCTGCCAAACTGTATTTCAGCTGCAAGATTTAACGCCTCCTAAAACTCTATCTCGGTTCTTTCTATGATACGCAATCGCTAAAGTTGGTAGCAATCGTCAGGAACCACGGTTGATGATTCTATCATGAAGGACTTTGTAATAGGCAGGAAAGCGCCGTATGAATGAATTTCCACTCATTGTTGGCTAACTAACGATTGTAAAGGGAGGAAAGTTCGTCGTATTGTGCCCCCATCTTGTAATGATCGGCTTCATAAAGGCCTTTCTAGAACACCATCTCTATAGTGCTCCCCACAGTCACCGGTTTACGTCATAGACAATGGTGAATAACTGAGCGATGGATATTTACGACGACGAATAGGCCAATTCCGCCTCTACTCATTTAACCTCACGCTTTGTATAGTAAACCAGGTTCGTTAACTTTGAAAATCCCTCAATAATACTATTGCGCATAGACACCCTTTGGTTTGACAGACAGCGTTGAAACGAGAACTGCGCTGCCTATAAAGAGACTATTGACATATTAGCTTACAAAGTGATCGATTTGGGTTAAGGTAGCCCAATATCTGTCTCTGGTGGAGCTAACTCTGACTCCTCGCCCTATCTATTGGATTCTCACATTTCGCCGCCGTCAAGCGGCGCTGACCAACCGATCACTAACACTAGCCACTCGCAAGCCACATGCCGATCGCCCATGGATTAGTCACTCGCAAGCCACATGCCGATCGCCCGTGGGAGTAATTACGTTCGCTTAACCTAGTGGGGAAGCGCTTAGTCGCGGGTTTCCATCTTTTGGCATCTAGACACAGCCGCATTCTATCGATGCCACAGTCGTGCAAGGGAACTCGGAGATGAGCGATACGGCCGCTGTACTGACCATAACTATCTTGATCGAGATTTCAGGATGAAAGGCTGGGAATATTATATTCCCGGGTTGAAATGTTTGAAAGCGGAATATCACTTTTTATCTCATTGGTCGAATCGAGGTCACGGGGGATATTGCCGTTTGCGTCAAACCTTCGCCATTCATCGGCCCGATTCATCGACCCGATTTTCTCAGCCACCTTCCTAATCCGTGTAGTGAGAGAATTGAGTCAGGGTCAGGGAGCCGCATATGCATCGCCTCCACAGGCCACATTTCGGATCTATGACCCAGATCGATTTCCTATGTGGATATCTGGTCCTTCACGAAGTCTCTTGCACCAGGCAGCAGGGGTACCCAAATAGCGGAGTCCAGCTCAGGCAACGAGATAGTTTCAGGAATGGCAGAAATACATATTGCTATTGAGATTGATTTCGCGTCTTCGTGTGGTAAAAACCTGATATAACCGGTCGGTTCTTCTATTTAACCAACTTCAATTGAATTGGGCTATGAGGAAGAGAATTTACTGACACCAGGAAGCTTGGTAAACACTATATTACAGCCGTCATGCGGAGTGAACCCCGTGGCGTTGTAGGAAGCTGTGGACCTTCCAGATCCAAAGGGAATTCCGTGTCTTGGATCGACAGTAAGACGAACGGTAATCTAGTTAGACTAAAGATAAGCCAAGGTGATCATCGATCACAGTTTCAGATACACAAAGATCCCTGTAAACAGCTGACTTGCAGCAAGCGAATACGGCAAGTCCTTGCGCGTTCACACTGTCACGGTGAGCAGGCAATTAGCAAAATACTACCCATATCGGCTCTCCCAGCTTATCCACTTTTAAACATCCCGACGACTTCAAGTGAAATTGGGTGAGATGAAGCACTGTGCAAATCTTTAGCTAACAATATGACAACTTCTTACTGAGCACGTCTAATACTGGCGAAAGATCCGAGATAGTGGAAAGACTTGATAAGATAGGTTAACGTGATTCTCAAGCGAAAGGCGCACCTACCCACCCTCTATATCTTTAAAGTGATTTTTTAAACCAAAAGACATTTACAATAAATAAAATATCTAACTGGGCAATTCTTCAAGCGTATGTAAGCCTCACAATGAATAACTGTGAAAGAAGGCGCAGCTCTTTGAGGAAGCATCATAGTCAACACGTCCACGGTCAAGAAGGAGCCCTTGCCAATCCCTCTTGATATCATAGCCAGTCAGGGTCGGGAAAATGACTAATTTATCTTCTCCGTTCCTTGGGCATGCCTGCAGTTTCGCTTAGCAATCGCTAACATTGGACGCGGCAAGGTGTTGCAGCAGCACTTCGTCGTTCGGCTCGGGGTGCTCGCGGTTTTTTCCCCACCAGTTCCAAGATACCCATCGCCTAAGTGCAGTCGGCACCATCATTATTCGTGGTCGCAGTCCACGCATTTTCCAGTCCCGGAAGATTTAGTTGGGCTGGGGCATCTGCACTCAACCGCACGTCGAGGTACAAGTCTGTGTCACATTACGCCAGCGGGTCCACAATCAAGGGGAAGGTCTCCTCTGCGACTGTGCAAAGAAGCTCACCTGAGGTCACATCCCCCCGCTATTCTCATGCAGCAACTACACGCTAACCCCGACTGAACGCTGATGGGCAAATTACCACCATGGCAGTATTGTTTTTGACCCACCCGTATCTACCCCCCAGTCCCGCCTAAGAATGGAAACTCATTGAGGCACACAGCCCTCATCTGTCGGTCCTTTACAATCCTCGGATAGATTTCAAAGCAGCAGTGTTCTCCTTTTTGTGCTCAAACGAGGGGGAAATGATCCTGCCGTTGACAGCCAATCAATTGACGTTGGTCAAAAGCAGGAGACTTGTTCTCATCGCCTTTAATCTCCTTCAAAGTATCCCGATTCAATCCCAGGGGGTGCAGTTCGGTCTCGACAACTTTGATGAACTGAAGAAGTCAGGGCCGAGGATCCGTCGCGTTCCTAGTCCTATGATTCTTATCATGAAATTCCTCGTAACAGGCAGCAAAGTATTTCAGATGGCCAATACCACTCTAGGCAACAACTTAGATAGTTTCAGCGCCAGTGGAACGGTATAGTACCATTAAGCTTAAGCCTTTACAACCAGAGACCGATATAGCCCTTTGACTGCTTCAATCAAACAAAATTCAAATGAATCGTGCCGTGCGCAAAAACGAAGATATAGGGACAAAACATACCCATCCATAATAAAGCTTCCAGAGGGTGCTGTGCAGAACAAACTCGCAACGGGGTTGATTTTTTGATCGGCAGTAATTTAACCTCGACTGATCATTTATTGAAACAAGGACATGCGAAGGTGGTTAATCGCAATTTCAAAAACTCAACAACATCTGCCAATGGTAGACTCATGAGAGTAAGTAAGTAAACGAGACATGTCCGTCCGTTTTTATGCTGTCACGGCAAGCAGACAAGTCGACTAAACACAGCCGCCTCTGACATTCGGTGTACGCCTAAAAGCATCTCGATGACAAAAAAAACGAAATCCATGAAGTCAATTAAACAAGAAGTGTAAATTTACAGCCAACGCAAATGATTTATTGCTACTGAACGCTTTCGAAGACTCAAACTTATAGGGGAGAAACAGATAAGTAAGTTACCTATGAAAGTGCATGCTTCGGAATTGTGTTTAGGCTCTGCATCTGACAAATACTAGGCCGTGCTAAAGTCCCTTTCATCTGCTCGCGACAGCATTAGCCAATCTGGAATAATGCTAACGACACGGCTTAACTCTAAGCAAAAAACTGCTGTGTTGCACAGTGTATTCCACCACCTTGGATGCCTAACTGATGCAAATGAACCTGTTCAATGACTCTGCCAGGATACTGCCTGGCGAGCACATTCGCTGCGTTCGCATCAGCTCCTTCATCGCCGAACTTCGCGACAATTACTGCCCCGTTGACCACATGATAGTTAACATAGCTAACCGTAACACCAGAATTCGGACCATAGTCTTCCAGGACAGCTGGGTCTGGCTCTTGTACTGAAAAATTGTCAGACTTTGCTTGAAACGCCGCACGAAAGACTCGCACGAAAGACTCACAATCAATGACCCTGATAGGTCTTCCTTTGGCATCCGTTTGGTCCTTGAGCTTTCTCTTTACATCATAATAATCATCCAACGCGCCTCCTGGGTTACTCTCGTCTCTCACAAACGGTCGGCTCAGCAAAACCACGCCTGGAGATGCAAATCTAGCCAGGCCATCAACATGATCATCCGTGATGTCATATCCGCTGGCACCAGAAAACCAAATTGTTTTCTCCACTCCAAAAGTGTCGTGGAAGTAACGCTCCATGGTGAGCTTGTCTACCCCGGGGTTCCTGTTGGAGTTCAGAATCGCGGATTCTGTCGCCAGGAGAGTTCCGTCGCCATCAACCTCGATCCCGCCTCCCTCTGCAACAAATGGCGCCAGCACTTGGTTGACTTTGAGGATACTACAAGCAGCACCAGCAAAGTATGAGTCCGTTGTTGGCAGGTTTTTCTTCCCCCATTGATTGAAACTGAGGATCATTCCGACCACTTGGCTATCGTGATGGACGGACTGGCTCTCGCTGCTAGAGCGTTTAAGTTCTTGTGCCCTGGGTTTTGCATATGCAAAAACAGGAGCAGTGTCTCGAGCCCACAGGCTGTCGACGTCTCTTGTAGTGTGGATAGTCACGTTCTTGGCGTCGCCCAGAAGCTGTTTCGCTGTTTCCAGACTGGAACCGTTCTTACCATCAATTATATGCGAGTCCCACGAAGGGTCCAATACAAACATCTCAACTTGCTCGTACTTGGCAATGGCGAGAGCCACTTTAGCTAGTTCGTGTCTTGTCTGGTTAACGTCAGAGCCGGGATACGACCAGAGAGTGTCCAGAATTGAACGCTCCGTCGGCCAAGCCATTATCGTGCCAGCATGATGATCGCTTTCCGCTGGAATATGAAATGTGTAATTTGAGTAGGAAACGGAAGTATCCATGGCGAAGGCAAAGGACGCGAGGACGGGAAAAGAGATGACCAAACAAGAGAGAACTTTTTGGGACACAACCGAGATGAACATGCTTCCCAGGCGTTGTTTTGAACAGATCTTAGAAACTAGCAGTTTTAAGATGCGAGTATATTGTTGTTGCATAGTCGTATTGGCACCTCATTTTATATTCCTTCCCTCGCACGCCAAGTATAGCCTCTCCCCGAGTAAAGTTCTGGAATTGGGAAGTCCATGCGATCACACAAATAGGCTTTGGTGCGAGCTCCTCGTAAAAGAGCGACATTTACAAGTGTCACATGTGTCGTTGCCTAACTCGCATAGCTAATGCCAGCGAACTTAATCACTAGCGGAGATTAGTCCGCCACGGAAAGCCTACCTAACGGAGAGCTTGAACCGGTGTGTTACATTGACTCTTTTTCGAGTAGGGATCCAGTCGAAAGAGCATCCTTCCAATTACAACAAGTATCGCTTACTATGCTATGTGTCTGAAAGCTCCGTAAGATGGTATCGTCGTCTATGATTAGTTGAGTTTGCTATCACCCAGCCAGCTTCGCCAATGAAAAACACAGTCAAACATGACCTCCACAGTTTAAAATTCATTAACCCATATACACTCAATAAGTGACGGTTGCCATTTGCTACTCCGCGTGTGTCGGACAGGCGTTTTAATGATATCCGAGAGTAATATTTAAACTTATCATCGTTTGTTCCCATCCAAGGGTTTTCTTGTTTCATCACTTCCTTGGGGGCTTTATTTCTTATCTTTTCCTGAACTGCGTTGATTGCTACATTGGAACACACTCATAAGATGACCCGAGGTAAACGAACTGCTGATGACACTCAGTCAGTCCAGATGGGTCACACGCACGAGCTGAAGCGACAATTCTCGTTATTGTATTGACAACTCCCAAACCCCGAAACAATGTCAAAATTTTCGATGGTCTTAACAATTATGCATGTTCTTCTAGATCCATGCTAGGCCTTGCATTTTCCATCTTGAATGTACGTCGTCCAATCTGCACAGATGATAAGCTTCGACGGGATAATCAATTAATATCAGGCAGTCTTGGACAGCTTTATCGGCTAGTTTGTCACTTAGCTTGCCTTCCGGGGGAAGTGCAAGCGTCATATGGGGTATTGATTCCTGCAGACTCCAACATTTGTCCCAACAATACTAACAATCCGAAATGCAGGACTCGTTACCGCCGGAACCTGCAGCCTATGTATGGCTTCCTCTCTGGCAGAATTTTTATCTGCGTACCCATCCGCAGGAGGTCAATACCACTGGGTTGCCGCTATATCTTGGAAAAGTTGGATGCCAATCATTTCCTGGATAACAGGTTGGGTTAATTGCTCTGGTTGGGTTGCACTCGCAGCCACGGGAGGGCTATTGGGCAGTCAGCTGATTCTGGGCATCATGTCTCTAATGAACCCGGTTAGTAGTGTTTGATTATTATGAGCATATCTAATTTCAATTCGTTGCTAGGCTTTTCAACCCCAACACTGGCATCAATTCCTAATCTATTCCGGGTACACCCTTGTTGCATTCATCTTGAACGCTTTCGCAAACAGCATTTTGCCTTCCATCAACAAGGTTGCTTGTGAGACAATATTTCACTTAGATGTATGCTTCCAATCGTGCTAATATTTTTTAAAGTCATTTGGTCTTTGAGCGGCTTTGCCATCATTTGCATTACTGTCCTTGCTTGTGCCGCACCAGATTATAACTCCGGGTAGTAAGTCAGGTTCAATTTCATGCCTGCCTGGCAACTATTCACTGAGGTTTCTAGCTTCGTGTTTCGAGATTTTGTGAATCAAACAATGTGGCCTGATGGGGTTGCATGGTTGCTTGGGCTTTTGCAAGGAGGTCTAGGTGTTACCGGCTTTGATGGAGTTGCTCACATGATTGAGGGTATACGTGGTTGAAACGAAATAAGATATTGTTACAAGGCTAATAGATTACAGAAATTCCAAATGCCTCAGACGTTGGACCTAAAGTTATGATTGCTTGTGTTGGAATGGGGATCATAACTGGCTCTATCTTCCTCGTCGTTCTGCTCTTAGTGGCTGGCAATATCTCGGACGTTATCGAATCTGCTGCAGGTCCACTTCTTGCAATATTGAGCAATGCAGCTGGGAATAAAGTCGCTGCCATCTGTCTTTTGATGTGAGTATCGTTGCCTAGCGTTATGTTTCTGGGCCGCTAATAGACTTTCAAGGTTCCCTATCGTTTGTGTCATGTTTGCCGCAACAGCCATCATGACTACCAGTAGCCGCATGGTATATGCTTTTGCCCGGTAAGTCTTTTCAAGCCCCAATTTTGAAAGATAAAATTGGGTTAATGTACCACCAGGGATGGAGGTCTCCCTGCTTCTTTGTTCTTATCTACGATCCACCCGAAACTCAAAGTTCCTTTGAATGCACTTTACCTCAACCTTGCTCTCGTCACCATATTTGGCCTTATTCTTTTGGGTTCCACAAGGTCAGTACCAGTCACCTCATCTCCAGAATCTTTTTTAAAATCCAAAAAGCGCCCTCAATGCCATTGTATCAGCCTCGGTTGTGCTGCTGAATATTTCGTACGGAATTCCAATCGCAGTGAACTGTGTCCGGGGGCGCAACATGCTCCCTGACCGAAGATTTGTTATTCCAAACATCCTTGGCTGGGTGTTGAACATCGTATGTTCTCGTCTCCAGAGTCTTCATTCAAAATACTTAACAAGTGCGGGATGGCAGATTTCACTGCTTTACGTCAGCCTGACGACTGTTCTCTTCCTTTTCCCTCCAAAATTGCCTGCCACTGGTAGCAACATGAGTGGGTTTTCCACTCACACTGTTCTTGCATGGACTGTTGGACTCCAGTACTAATTATTTCTTTGTATAGATTACTGCGTCGTCGTGTTTGGCGTCGTTTTAATAATCTCAGCGACTCAGTGGGTTGTGAACGGACGCAAAAATTATTCTGGTCCCCGAGTTGAGGTACAGTTTTCGGGGGAACAGCCCTCACTTTAGGATTTTACTCAAGCCCATTAATGGTTGTGGGGCAAATACTGGGAATCGGGTTTTCACCCATTCGATGTATTTCGGATGGAAGGTTGAGGAATCCGACGAGCGCAGAATGTGAATGCGGCTGTCTGATATCGTCGATCGCAATTTGCTGCGCATTCGTTTTAGCCATTTCAAATCGTTGGTGAGCCTTCTCTGATAGATAGGGGTATAATTTTCAAGACCACAATGTCACGATGTAGATGCCAACAAACCATACAAATATTTTCGAATGGGACGGATGCTTATTTTCCAGCGAGGTGTTATGGAACGGTCAAGAGCTATTTCTTCTCAAAAATGAGTGATACGCGTCAGAATGACACGACGCGTCCTTCGGTTGTCTAGGAAGCCCAGAATTAGGCTGCGCAAAGGCCCGCAAATGACCTTTCCTGACCCGAATTTGCATGAAATACGGGTCTTGGCATATGCACTGTTATATACGCGTTTAAGTCAGTCTTCATACATTATCGACTTTGACTTCAATCAACTGATGAAGACTTCAATCAACTGATGAAGAAACTCCATTGTATCTTAATTAATTGATTGCAGTAATCAGTTACGTATATAGCTTTAGTAAGATGCGACCATAGGGTTATCGTGGAAGAGTGAACATGTAGGGTAATGCTTTCAAGCCTGCAGAAATATATGTTTTATCTTCAAGGCCACCGTGTATCCTCATGGAGAGAACACATATTCCGCTTAATTCTACTAAATACAGGCCTTAATTGTTACAACCCAAAATGAAAGGGCTCTAGATGGACCTCGTCAGCAGGAACTAACGTACTAACTAACGCCTCGTACTGTGAAATGCTCAGTGAGCGGGACCCCAAGCGCCCTCATAAAGCGGCGGCACCCCAATTGAGCAAGTCGCGGCCACGACCTAAAATCCGGTAGATATTGCTACATATATGTACAAATACTTGGAGGCAGAGGTCGAATGAAATGTACTCAAATATACATGTATCTATATCCATCTATGTATAGCCTGCCTCTTCAAAAAGACTTCCCCGCGCTTGCACCACCGCCGACAGTTCCAGCAGAAACTCATACAGAAGCACCACATTCGTCAACACGTGGCCCAGCGTGACCGGGGCCCTTTCGGGATCGGCACATTCACTATTGGACGCATCTGGGGGCGGGAATGGAGTCGCTAGTCGCTGGCGTAGGGTCTCTGCCGTCGCTGCCCGTGAACCTGATGAACCACGCGATTCCGCGGGTCGCGAGGATTCGCCTCTCAGCGAAGCCACCGCCGGGGAGCTGATCGTATTCGGGGACCGCCCTCGGGACGCAGGGACGGAGGCGTCGGGAGATCCGGGGTAGGAGAGTCGTGAACGGTCCACGGGCGTCGGGGCAGGCTCAGACGGCTCCCACGAGCGTGTCGGTGTTTGGGGCCGCTCGCCCAGATGCAACAGATCGCGTCGGGCAGCAACCAAGACATCAAAGTCGGGCAGATCCTGCTGCCACTGGCAAACTTGGTCTACGAGCCGTTGGAGCACCGCAGTCAGTGTCGGGCTCGCAGTTGCGGGCCATGTTGGGATTTGGTAGGCACGGTGGAGGAAATCAAGCTCATCCGATGATTCCTTTGGCGTATCATAGTTGGCAGGGTCCACCGGGACCCAGCCGTCCAGGGAGAACAGATGCGACGAGGCCAGACTCATTAGAACCCCGGTCAGTACGAGTTTAACAATCACGCTGTTAATGAAGAAGGTCTCAACGCAGCTGAGAAGTCCCCGGACAATCCGGTCGTCCTGCTGGAGCTGCAATGGCAGGGGAATCGCACCCTTAGCCTCGTCTGCGGTAGAGACAGGGAGACACAGGCGGGATTCGAGTGTCCATGTCGCATCCGTGATGTAGTCGTTAAATGATTCGTTTCAACTCGGGTCGTCGAAGATCGATATGCCGAGAGTCAAGAGCCGTTCGAGCTCCGCATTGAAAGCACTGACAGACCGCTGCTACGCGGGCTGGCCAGGCACCGTGTGTTTTAATGCCCGGGAAAACGGGTGTTGCCGTTGTAGGATAACGTTTAGCAGGCGTAGAGTAGCTAGCACCGTCTGGCGGTTAGAGGATTGAAGACCTAGTAGCACTAAATCTCGTAGATTAAAGAGTGAAGGAGAGGGCTAGGCTGCTTCGGAAGCTAATGCGGCTAGAACATTGAGTGACTTTCGGCGACTTACCGACATATCTATCTATTCCTCCGGGGGTGGGGATAAAGCCAATAGGAATTGTAGGATTCGATGGACTAATTCGCCTTGGTCAATCGAGTCTAAGATACGGCACAAATAGGTCAGCACGGCCGCTGTCGAGCCACCGGCCACATCCGATAATTCTAATAAAGAAGGGTATCTATGACGGTTAGCAAGAAATAACAAAAATGCTTTGCGGTGACATTATAGGAGTTATTCGAGAAAGAGCACTTAGAAATGGTCCAGGAGAGTGTCGTTCACCTCTACGGACTTACAATGGTCGATAGTGTCCTAATAGAATAATAGGTAGGACATGAAAGTATCCATGGTTTTGCTAAGGGCGGGCTGTAGGGCCGTCGCCTCTTTCGCGTAGTCAGAAAGGGTAATTATGCGCGGAACGTCCTCGTCGGTAGGCGCATATTCTAAGCTACACTTGATCAACGACCAGTCTTTCTCGTGTCTAGAATCCTACTCACCTTCCTAGCTAAGTATATAGTGCACCTAATCCAGTAGGTATTAGCGTAGCTAGGTCACTCTCAATCAGCCACTTCTCCAGGTTCTTCGAGCGCGACGCCGTCTCAATAAGATACAGGAGCCCCGTACGCGCAAAGTCGCCCGCGCGACCCCTATTATGAACGTAGTCGACTAGCAGGTAGAAGAGCGGGAACTTATCCTTATAAGTGGCATCAGAAAATTCCGTCGGAGCCATTAATTCACCGTCCTAGGCGATAGGAGTCGCTCGGGGCACGGACCGTGCAGGTAGGATGACCGGTTATAGGCGGATATTCTTAGTAATGCCGAACAGTAGCTCGATGCCTTATCGGCGCGTCGAACCAGGTCGACTAACGCACGAGCGAAAAGTCGGTTATCCACGATCCCGTCCACCTCGGCATCGATGAGAGTGTTAAAGAAGATTGTGGCGGACCGTAAGACCCTATCGTCGTAGTATAATAGAGCAAGCTTGGTAACTGTCACGAAGATCTGAGAAGAGGCGGCGTAGGCAACATAGGGGTGCGGCACTGGTCCGCGGGATTCGTCGCTCAGGATAGAGTTGAGGCGTTCAATGTAGGTGCGCGCGTGCGCAGTCGACTATTCGGCGGAGGGAGTGTTTTTAGAGCGCCATATTTGCTGGATTTTAAGGGGGTTAGTCAGGGCACGCACAATGAAGCTGTGCAATCTACCTGGAGAGCGTTGCAGGCGCGTTTAAAGGCCGTGAGTCGTTCCGTGGGCGAAGTGGCTCGCGAGGTCTTGGACAGCGCGCGCGAGCCGCCGATGAGACGAGACCACTAGGAAATGCTAGCGACAGAATCGTTTCTGAAAAATTGCAGGCACGTACAAAGTGGGTATGTTCAAACAAGGGAAAGTGTCACTGGCATCACAACACGTCCGGACGAATGTTCCGGGGAATCTGCTTGCACCCGAAGCAAAGCCCCACTTTTCCGACGTAGACGACAAAATGCAAAGGGGGGAGAACCGTGACTGCTAGTCCTCAAAAATAATAAAATGCCCGAGTGTCGGGAAGAGACACACAAAACATTGCTCCGGTCGGTCCAACAAAGGTTCCGGTCGTCGCCAAAGCGTTTCTTTCCCTGCCGTTCGTTCTCAATTCGAGGTTCTTGCAGTCGAAGACCGACTGCAGTTCTTGTCTTGGCTATTTGAAGGTGCTCTGTCTCATTGCGTTTCTACGCCCCCGAGCGCAGATATCAATTCTCCATCAAGATGCTTCTCAAGTCCAGATGTTAGAACAACATCCGACTGTGACCACACGAGCTTGAACGCCGAATTGATTGACGCGCAATATATTCCTTCTACAAGGAAAGGTCTATCATGGTCCGTAGAAGAAGTTCAGTTACTGGTGAAGCTCCGAGAAGAACAAAATCTTGGTTGGTCGGAGGTGGCGCAACGTTTTTCACAAAAATTCCCTGGAAGGAGTAAAGGTTCTATACAGGTGTACTGGTGCATGACACTCAAGAAACAGCCGCTATCTTCAAAGAGAGGCACATAAAAAAAGAGCTACATTTCTATACGAAAGCCTCTCCCTTTCTTACTTTTCCTTTTTATTTTTTTTATTTTTTGCTGCGTGAAGCTACGATTGTATTCTCGACTATTTTTCCAGTGATCAATCTTCGTTCGCCTTCCAGGCCCCTAGCCACCACTACGAGGAGCACCGCCAGCTGAGTGGTCTGCCGCCCGGCGCTTTGTCGATGGCCTATGACCAGGTCAACCCCCTGGGCTTTAACAATGGGCCCCAAAGATGCCCTGTCAACGGTGAGACGTTCACAGGACGCATCAAGCGCGAGGTTCCCTTCGACTTCTACACCGTCCCAGCACACAACTTATCCGAGATGGACGCCAAATCAAGCTATATGGAGAACGCTCCCTATTTCTTCTCGGCAAAGCCCAACATGAGCAAATCTGTTGACCACAACGCTCTCGGCGGCCATGAGCTGGATCACGCCCGTTCGTCCTCGCAGGCCGGTCGCGCGTACCCCGGTATTCATCAGCAGCAGGCTGCGATAGCTGCCAAGGCAGCCTAGTAACAGACGCAGACGCAGCAGCGTCACGTGGAGACTCAGAATAAACCCAACCAAAATGCCCGTGGCAATGACCTTATCGTTGATGAGCGTATTTCTTGTTTTCTTCAGCGGATGCGTCAGAATGCAATCGCTGCTGATAGGGCTTCCTCCACCACCTCCTTCTCCTCTGTCCTCCCACATATGGCCAAGCCCAAGAGGGACGAGGCCGGCATGAATGAAGATAAACGCCTCCTCGCCAGTGAAGAGGGCAAGAAGCTCAGTGGTAAGGAGCGTCGCCAGTTTCGTAACAAGATCTCCGCTCGTGTTTTCCGCTCTCGTCGCAAGGGTATGATAATTTAATAGTCTCTATCATCCTCTTCTTTTCTAATAATTACTCTGCAGGGCAGATTGGTCAACTCGAGGGTGAAATTGCTTCCTGCGCCAACGAAGCCCATGACCTGCGCCTCCAGAACCGCCGGCTACTCGAGGAAAACGCTTGCCTGAACGAACTCGCTCGAACGCTCCTCGGCTCCCCTCATTTCGCCAACTTCCTGAATGAGATGCCCAACAATACTGTGTCTCCCCAGATCCTGACTCAACAGGCTGCCCCTCGAGAAGTCAGCCAGTACCAGGAGTTCCAGATGCAGCAAGACCCCCCAGTCCGGCATGGTCATGGCCCCCAACCAGGGCATGGACGCAAACCAAGCTGGACCACGAAAGACCCGCCGGCACACCGACAAAGAAAAGAACTGTTTTCGGGTCAGTACACGGCAGTAGGACGACTCACATGAGACCGAAGATAATGTGAACGCCTTTGGCTGTTATCTCTTTACACCTACAGCAAACATACACACTAGAACAGCTGTCGAACGCTGCATCCACCCAAGATGCTCAAGTCGCCGGCATTGGTACCAGGAAGACTGGAGACGTGATCCGATTCGAAGACGCGACATCGGCTGAGGTGGCCCGCAACGACAAGGAATGGTTGAATGAGTTAGGCAACGACACAAGACTGGTGATACCGTAGTTTGGAGTGATTGTACACCACACGCCAACCCACGGGCTGGATCTTGAAAGAGACAAAGCAGGCGCCATCAAGAAAATCACAGATGAAAACAATCTTGCGGAACGTGGTTTCCGTATCGAAGACATCGCTGGCTTGAAGAAAGGAGATAAAGCGCTAGGAGTATTCGGCTCTCTGGGAATTTGGTTTGGCTCAACAGAGGGCGCGCAATGGATGACCGAGGACGGTGAGAAGACGAGAGATACATTGGACGAGTGAGAAAATGCGAGATCAAGAAGCAGCGCTTTTTCCGTTGCCAACGGTTCGGACATCTGGCGTGGTCGTGCCTGGAGACGCCCCGGTGCGGCGACTGCGGCGGCTCGCATTTACCAGCAAGACGCCAACCGAGCGTCAGAGCACGCTGCCTGGAATGCAGTGGTAAACATCCGACGGAGGATCGATTTCGTCCGACCCCGGCGAACGAACCCTCCTCGCAATGTTAGAGAAAACACTTAATCTTTAACAGCTGAACACCATGAAGTCGAGGGCAGGAATGGAAGCCCTCATTGGCGACCACCAGAGCCAGGACTTGGACGTGCTGCTCATCCAAGAGCCATATATCACTGCGTCTTCCTTAATCTCAATTCGACGCCTTCGGGCTGATTTAGTAAGGAGCCGACCGTCGACAAAGATGAAACTAACATATCTCTATAGCTTCAAGAATGGATTTTGATTTTGTCTTTCCCTTCCTGGGTCTACAGTCTTTCATGTGACCAATAGGATGATGCTAATTGGCTACCCTGCTAGGGCAGAGCGAATAGTATTCGTTGCATAGCTGTTTTTATTTTGACGTCTTTAAATGCTATTGGCTCTAAAGTTAATGGAGAATCATAGCGGATGAGGACTACAACGAAATCATCACACTGAATCGAACTGAATGCGTCGAAACTGCTGCAACATTCGAGCTATCCTTCGATTTTTATGCCTCACTGCTCCATCTTCTGCTTTAGAAAAGAGTCAAGAATCTAGGCGGTATCGACCGCCTATACGCACCCCCTAGCGCGAGTGCCATTTAATCCTAAAGGAAAGGCCGTCCACCCCCGAAGGGGATAGACCCCAGTCTATTCTCCTAGGGCCTGTGGCCGAGGAACCAGGTCATCGCACACCGACCGAGAGGTCATCGCACACATCACGTGATATTTCCAATAATTATGGCCCGTGCTCATCGCAACCCCGTAAATTTCTAGGGTAAACCCTTGTAACCTGGTAATCTATCCACACACCTGTCAGGACCACTGACTGACGATACCAACTACGGCCTGAGGCATACTTAGATGCCATGGCAGTATCATGTTATTGGGCTTCACCGCCCGCAGCCGGGCCAGTCTGTATTTTAGTGAAGCCCCGCTGGACCTTAGAAGGGCCAGCGTTCAGTTTATCTTACAATCCACTACATTATATTACACGCATATGAATGTGTCTACCTCGCTTACCCATCCTGACCTAGAGACTACTGCGTGGTCTAACAGAAGCTCACTTTGGAGATACTAAAATCTCACCTTATACCTATAGAGTTAGACTCCTATGAAATAATAGGCTATGACGAAGGTTGGTCTAGTATTAGTTCTCTATTTTATGAAGGGAAAGTTTAGTGTTCCTTATTTTATTTTTGCGGGCGTTATAGCAGTAATTCGGTGGCGAGTCCGGTGACATAATGATGGCAATTCTTATGCATACGCTAATAGCTGACAATGAAATTACCTAAATAATCGGAGCAGTCGTTTATTTATAACATCAGTGAAGTTATATAACTTACTATCAGCCACGTTAGTTATACTAATAGAGATAATAGAGGAAATACCTTTATCTTATTTTACTAAGACATAAGAGCTCAATTGCGTATAATTAATATGAGAAGCTTCAATAGTGTCTTTATAAACTCTAGATAGCACATTCTTGGCTTTGTATATACCTTGTCAAGATTTAGATCCTGTAAGATTTTTAGCTCGTAAGAGCTAACTCACATATACTACGCTGGTTAACGTGGTTCACAAGCGAGTGACGCGCCCAAGCGAGTGACGCACCCACCCATTTTTTCGCGTCTCCGCGCGTCCATTCATCTTCTATCAAGCACCATGCCTCCAATTCGCGTCAGATCAAGCCAAGATTCTATCTAGCAAGAGGGCCGTATATTAATTGCTATACAGGCTATTCAGAATAAAGAAATCAGTTCTATACGCGAGACGGTACGTCGTTTTAATATGCCTGAAGCTACGCTCCGCCGTCGACTACGCGGTACTACAAATCGCGCTGACACTCGCGTAAATAGTCTTAAACTGACAGATATTGAAGAAGAGACGCTTCAAAAATAGATTTTATCGCTCGATCTACGCGGAGTAGCCCCTATATAAGCTTATGTACGAGATATGGCGAATATTCTCCTTGTAACGCGCGGTTCTACCCCTATCCAGACTGTTGGCAAAAATTGGGTATATAACTTTATTAAACGACGCCCAGAACTTAAATCTCGCTTTTCCCGACAATATAATTATCAGCGAGCAGAATAAGAGGATCCAAAGATTATTCGAGCGTGGTTTGACCTCGTATAAGCTATAATTTAGCAATACGGTATCCTACCAGATAATATCTATAATTTTGATAAGACTGGCTTCGCGATAGGCCTCTATACGGCCCAAAAAGTGATCACTTAATCAGAATACTACGGTCGGAGATCAGTTTTATAGCCAGGAAACCGCGAGTGGGTGACTGCGATTAAGTTAATAAACGCTTTAGGGTGGGCGCTTCCACTAACGCTTATCTTTAAAGGTAAGCTATATAATTAAGTATGGTTTAAAGACCTTTTACCTAACTGGCGCTTCGAAGTTAGTGTAAATGGATGGATAACTAACGAGATAGGCCTTCGTTGGCTTCAAAAATAGTTTATTCCGTTAACAAATCATCGTACGCGTGGACGATATCGCCTTCTAGTCCTTGACGGACACGGAAGTTATCTAACGCCAGAGTTCGATCAAATCTACGCGGATCATAATATTATTCCGATCTATATGCCGCCGTATTCCTCGTATCTACTTTAGCCTTTTGATATCGGATATTTCGCTATATTAAAGCGTTCGTATAGTAGTTTAATCGACCAAAAGATGCGGCTCAGGATTAACTATATCGACAAACTTGACTTCCTTTTCACATACCTATAAGCTCGCGTCGACGCCTATAAACCAACTATAATACAAAATAGCTTCTGAGCAGCAGGACTAATGCTAATTGATCCTTAATAAGTGCTATTAAAGCTAAATATTCAACTTCGGACACCGACACCTCCTATAAGCCGCGGTAGTCAATCAAGCGCGTTTTACCTATATACGCCCGCGAACGTCGACGAGCTTTTGAAGCAAGCATCCTTAATTAAAGCTTTCTTAAAGTGACGCTCAAAAAGCCCGCTATCGCCTTCGCAAACCGCGTTAAACCAGCTTATCAAAGGCTGTCAGATCGTAATACAAAACGGTATCCTTCTTAAGTAAGAAAATAAGCAACTACGTGCCGTAAACGCTACGCAAAAGCAAAAACGTGCTCGTAAGAATAGATGGATAGCCTACGATAACAGTCTATCCGTACGAGAAGCATTAGAGCTCGAGGAAGCTTATAAAGAGCCCCCTCAGGTAATACTAGCTCCACTAAGCCTACTACCGCGGGACACACCAGCACCGAAGACGCGTCGTCCACCTTAATGCACTAATTGCGGAGTGATCGGACATAGAAGGATTGCCTATAAAGCTAGAGATTAATCAATATAAAGGCGTTGTGGTTGATTAATATGCATAAAAGTGTAGAAAATTTGGGTGGGTGCGTCACTCGCTTGGGCGCGTCACTCGCTTGTGAACCACGTTATTGCTGAGAAATGATACAGTAATCGGAATATTAGGTGGCGTATTTTTATCCAAAAGAGATCTAGCGGGGTCTGCAGATACAGGGATGTCCGAAGAGTTCAAAAGGGCTATATACGGGGCACTACTAACCTTAGCGGCAATAACACTATGCTCAAAGTGTTTAATCCTACCGCCTAGCCACAATTAATAATACCTGATATTTCTTGCTCGCGGTTTGCGTAGTCAAGCATACTTAAGCATTTAATACGGCAAAGGCTCGACTGAGCGCTCTGTAGCATTCGTATCAGAGTAGGGTCTAAGACAGGGTTCGAGCCTAGTCACCCTCACTGCGACCTGATCTGCGCGTGTCTAGGCCCTGATTGAAACACCCCAATATCACACTGCATCAAGAAAGGACTTTTGGTTTCTATTTGAAGTTATATGTGATGTGACCGTGGCGCTTCACTCAGCCACTCTGATTGGAGGAACTCTCTTTAGCCTGTGGAAAAGTGGAACCTTGGCCTTGGTTCTGCTAATAATCTTATAGCTTCAAGGTTTTCGGCTAGCTATTTATGCATGCGAAAGCCGCCAGTTCGTATATTATGTGGCTAGCAAGTACGAATGTAGCGTTGCTCGCTAATGAAATTTGGAACGCAGGCCTGGATATGAAATATTTCGCGGGAAGCCGCAACTAGCTTGATTGGTTGATAATTTCGATCACATTCGGACTTCAAACTTTTATCATAGTACTAGGTAATTTCGCTTTTGTTTTCATCGGGTTCCATGATCGACGATAAAAACTTGCTTTTTGTCCACTTCTTGAACCCAGTTCTATCGAAAGCCAATATGAAAATTATTAAGCCCGTAACTAGCAAATTCTAGGGCTAAGGTTTCTTATTATCTATTTTCTAATAAAAAAGTATAACAACAAACCTGCAATATACCATTTGAACCCATTTGAGCCCATTAGTGAGACTTTACTCGGCGTCCGAACACCGTCCCTGGCTTGACATAGTTCCAAACGAATCCCGCAAGCAACCCACGTCAATAAATCCACCTGCACCACCTGTTTTGCAGAGTGAATAGTTGTGCTTAAAGAGTGCTTTCCACGCCATATCGGGCTGATCATAACCCATAGAAATGAACATATTGTGCGACTTTTGATCCCTCAACACACAGCTTTGCTGCCACCAGGCATTGAACCAGAACAGCACAGGATCCCAGTTAGCCTAGTAAGCAGGCCCGGCAGAAGGACGATTGGGACCCATGGACAAGGTAGGCTCTTTGTAAGCACCGCACGGATTTTTGAGGAGGTGATTATCTGATAGATACTGTATATCGCAATCTAGTAGATTCGAAATCCGCCGTATGCACCATGTCCACTGAAGAAATCACTGAAATTAGCGAGACTCGGTGGTGACATTAGTCATAGAACATCCCGATAGCTTGAGTCTTCCTGGCAAAACCTGTGGTTTCTGGATCCATTTCATATCCAATGGAATGGTCTGTTGGAATAATAATGCGCTTCCAAAGAGAGCTCCATGACGCCTGGAGAAACATCGTTGACGGAATTGAGGCAATGATGGCAATGTCCTGATAGGTCTAATAGGTAGAAACTTGAAACTAATGGCGTTGGTGGTTTAATGAATCGGTTTAAAACAAGAGTAGTTGATTTTCCGATCGACTCGCTTACGGGATAGCTGCGCTATACTGAATCGCCATACACTTACCTTCATGCCCACCTGCTCGCTGATTTATGTGAAACTTATACAATATCATTTTACTGGAGTTCTAAAAAATGAAAATTGACTCTTTAAACTTGTTTAGCAGGACTCGATTTCGAACTGCGTTGATGGCATTTAAAGTCTACAAGATACGTAGGACCGTGGGGCAATTGCGGATTACGTTATCCTAGGCAGTTTTAAGGAAATATCCTCCCTTTCGCCGACTCTCTACTCTATTGCTTGTGACACAACTGTCTGTATCTCTCCCTTTCAATCTCTTGTTTCTTTTTTTCACTTTCCCGCACCTCGCCACGATCTACCAAACAAGTACCTACTCTGAGAGATGATACTTCTCGGGTCCATCTTTAAGTGTGTCTTTGGCACACTCATTGAGAAGCCGCTGCCTCCGGCATCCCCACAATCCCCCGAATCTGTGGCTTCCCATATTGTCACCAAGATTCTCAATGCCGACGACCCTTCCTTGCTTTACAAACAACTGAATGAAGAGATCTCTGTCAATGCCTGGTCCGACGCCATAGCTCGAGCTACACTTCACAGTTTAGAGAGTGCAATCAGAGCTAGCGTGGAAATGGCGCGAGCTGCGACCGACGCTGCGAACCAAAGTAAAGATGCTGCTGTTAGCTTTGGAACGGATCACCCCGTTTACTCTACTCTCATTGCAATGGGTATCTTGGCCTGCTGACACCATGGGCTCTGGAACTGATCGGATTCGGAGACCTAGGTCCAATCGGAGGCTCATTTGCGGCAGCCTGGCAAAGCACATATGCCGGATACGTGCCCAAAAGGGCTTTGTTCGGTTACTTTCAAAGACTAGGGATGAACTGGCATTGGGTGCTTGATTGAAGCTGTCGAGATGAAATAGAGTTCATTTCACGGATTTCAAGAATATGATGCTTAGCGCCTTCAGCGGTCATTTGTTTGGAATGCAAGGGGCGGAAACCTCGCGCTCTGCATCGAAATCGAGCTTTTTAGAATCCACGGCATTGCAAGGAATCAGGGGAGATAATACCACAGAGAGAATGGAGTTTTCATCGCCGTCTTCCATAGACTTATAGAAGGAACAACTTCCTGTGGCGCACTTGTAGAAAACCAATTGTAAAAATGATGGCATTTCGCGCTCAGGGCCTCGGATTCCGCGTCGGCTGAACTGCATTCCCTGGGCACAGAAAGACAAGGGAGTCTACCAGCACACCTCGCATGGAGGGAAGTGATGGAGGGAGATGGTGGAGGCATCATACAGCTCCGATCACATTTCCTTACCGCCTTCTCTCCCATTTGTCCCATACCCCCATCTCTTTCAACGATTGTTCAGCTTCATGCACGATGGTCGGGGGGTTGGCAGATAATGAGGCTTGCTCCTACCGCCTGGTAGAAATGGGGCCAAACGTTAGAAAGACCCTCAAAATGGCTAGTGGCCTACTAGCATCGGTTTACACTGGCACTACGCTGGGGAACAAGTGCAACTGCAGCTAAAATCAGCTGGGTCTTGATATCCCTGAAAGCGCTCTACGCTCAATCTGGCCCGATTGCGTTGCTGCGAGATGTTTGTTGCATTAGCATCACCTGGAGCGTATAGACTCCGCTTGCTATGCCTGCCGCGGGTACAAATAAATATCGACGAGATCACTCAATCATCCAGATCTTCTTTTTCCTGAAAGACCAAACTTAAAGATAGAGAAATTTTCTCAGTCTTGTTTTCTTTTCACAAACCACCTATACCTGACTAGCGGCATTTTTTGGTCATATATACAGTATATATCGTACTTATACCTACTGACATGATCGCTCGCTTGCTTGCTCCCTTCCCATCTGTTCCATTCCTTCATTCTTCGAAGCGAGATTTGCACACATATATATGTATGTGTTGATGCTGGCAAACTCTTCGAAGTTCAACTTTTGAATATTACGAGTACACCTCTTCGGTCTCTTTGGTATCAATTCTTTTAATTTAATCCGAAAGTGATTCTCGTAAGTCATCTCTACACTTTCACCCTCTCTCCTCTACTCTATTAAATTCTATGTAGGTCCGCATATATGTTGGCTACAACAAAACGAAATCTTTGGTACGCACCGTGTATCTGCTGGTATCTCTATTTGAGCGGTTGGCAGGCTTCTGGCGCAGCACAGGAGAAGTCTCCGCGAGATCGTGAGAAGATGCATTTTTCGTCTGTTCCAGGCGATCATATAACTCAGGTATAATTGTAAAAAAATCTCGCGAGGTGATACTATATACGAGAATATAGCAATCAACTGGACATATAAGGTCATTATTCAGGCCACTAGTCTCCAGAATGTCCACCGAACAGACATGATTCGCTGTAGTGAGATACTTGCGGTATGAATCCTGAATCGTTGGGTTATGGGTTTCCGTAAATCGATCATAACAAAGCTGGGCATGGCCAAAATTAGCTCGAACTCGTATGCGGCCAATCAAGGCAAGCAACTAACCCGATTAATTAGAGCCGTCTTTCCGACTTTGCTATCACCTAAGATCTGCAGCTCGTATGACGTCATTTAAAACTTTGGGCCTTTTTGGGTATGCACAACCCGCCGAAGAGAAAAAATAGATAGGGATTGAAAAGAAGACGATACTCAGACTCTCCTGGTCTTCTGGTTTTGATAGATTGAGAATTACGCAAAGTCGGACTGTCGTCGGTAAATCTTCGGCCGAAATACTATAATCATGACATCTGTCTCCACCAAAAGCTCTGAGAAAAAAGTCTCAGAGCCTGACCGAAGAGGCAGGAGAAATTTTACCCGCACTTACTAATAAATCTCGCCCGCTCTGACGAATCTTCTATACACCAATTACGCATTGAAACTGGTTATACCGTAACAATACATAGTAACTGATCAACCTAATCAGCTGCACGGGGAGCCTCAACAATTGGGAGAAACGCGCCGAATAGACAAATCATTAAAACTGGTAAAGTAAGACCACGATATCTTGTCAATAATAAGCCAGCCTTGCAGGGCTACTAGGCGTGGAAAGAGTTTGGCACTTTGACTAAGCGTAAGCGTACACAGACCATACTTGAGTTAGATCAGATCTATCTTCCATTGCCATGCGCGCTTTTATATGACAGAAATTGGTCGAAATTGGTAGACTTAATAGTGTCTGGGTACTTGCCAATTCATTGGGTGATTTAACTCACCATCGAGTGCTCTACCAAACTAGGTACCTTTATAGAACTTCGCCAACAATCACAAAGTCTTTACATATAGATATTTCTCTGGATGGATATGAATTGTCAATGCCTTCTCCATCTGCATTTCCCACACTTTGCTTGGAATTGTGAATCTGGTGCTGGTGTTGGTCATACAGCCTTTACTGGTGCCACCGCTGGTACTGTGTTTGGCTGGAAGATCTGATTGTAAGCCTGCGTATGCCCCTGAGGTTTTTGTACTGGAATATCAGCATAATCAGCCACACATATATTAATATGCACGTTGTTGTGCTTTTATAATGCGTTCGCTTGGAAGTGCGGCCTAGAATTCCGGACCTACGTTCAATCCGCCGTGGATGATCCGCTGCCCTACCTTTTAACGAGACTGTTGATATGTACAGTCGTAGCTTGCACATTCGCAATCAACTAAATGAATAGCTTTATAAGAAGACCACGGAAATGGTACAAGAAGGATGGTGCCATTCCAAAACACTTCAAGTAACACATTGGCTCAATATTTATAGCAAATAATACACTTCATCCAGTATTATATCAATCCAAACTAAAGATAATACCTAATGCAGATTATCACGGCCAGAAGGCGCCACCGATCGAGAAATAAACCAAATAACGTCTAAACTAAGCCAAAAATGTCAAGGGATGACCTTCAAGCCAATAGTGCCATGGTAGGCACTACACGGCCAAAGTGGCAACCACGCTCATGGCGCTTCATATTGCTGCGAGCGGAGAAAATCTTTCCACAGTAGGCATGCGGGCAGTGGAAAGGTTTCTCGCCTGTGTGAGAGTTAGAATGCGTGCGCAGTGTGGAGGGGCGAGAAAAGGCTTTGTGGCATGTGCGGCAAATGTAGCGATTATGGTTTCGTTGGGGGGAAATCGTGGTTAAGGGAAGGTGGAAATAGTGGTTGTGCCAGGCTGACTTTGGACTAAACCCCAAAAACTCCGAGGAAGGAGATCGAGCAGATTGGTGTTGAGATGAAGGTAGTTCGGTGACTGCTGTAGATGGGTTGAATGTAGATAATTTTGGTGGACAGTAGTACGTGCTTGTGACTGGCGCATTTGAAGAAGGGTAACAACCAGCCTCATGGCGATATATGGCAGCAAGTTCGTCTCCTCTGTCACTTAAAATAGTCGTGGTCGATAGCTGCTGCTGTGTATATACCAGCATAGATCGACTGTAGTTCTCAAAAGATGCAAGAAGAGCCAGTGATTGGGAATTCCTGACTGTTGTTTTCGCGGTATCGGGGAAACTTCTCGGTGGCAGCTTTGTTGACATGCCTTTTCGGAAGGGCATTCTTCGAGGTGGTAGATAGCTATGTAGTCTTCGTGTCAGCTTTAACGAACGCTTTTCCCAAACCAATGACTTAGAATGATTTCATTTCGGTTTACCCAAAGATGATCTTATCCATCACAAAGCACGGGATATATGCATCGTTAGGGCTTCACATGCTCACCTCGCAACAAAAGCCAGGTTTGACTTTGATGGTGAAGAATCTTGCTTCTGAAGTAACTCTTGGCGACTCTTATGCACCCACGGATACCAAAGTTTGGCCCATTCATCAAGATTGAGATGCGAAGAACGTATATCGTTGCCAAAACAAGCACCGTCGTTCGAGGATTTGCTGTTGTGGAAGGGATACTCCTCGCGCAATGTATGGCTCTTCATACCCTTGATGAAACGATAAAACTTGCACTGCAATCCATGAAAGCTGCGCGGTTTGTGAGAGGGGAATTCCCGATTGAATTTCTCCCGAATCCACTTCCACTGCCAGCGAAGGTCAACACGATGGTACCAGATGAAATGCATTTCCTCTTCGTCGTACTCATTTCGGTGCGACCCTCTGTGTTGCGTTCTTCCGGGATGCAGGCTTGTTCCTGACCAACTTGCTGGTTTTTGCCCCGGACGTAGGTTTTGTGAGGAGTCCGCTGGCTTTCGTAATCGCCGTGAAATGGAGTTTTGGTGGCTGTGTTGCATAGTCAGGCTGCTTCCGCCTGTCTGCACCACCAGGGGTATTACTGACGCTGCTCCAATTTTGTTGCCGGCAGAAACCGAATAGTGCTCTTGTTGAAATTGCTCTAAGCGAGATCGATAACTATCTCGAATAGGGGGATTGTACCCATGTGATAGAGGTATCACTGAGGCATGCTGGGCGTATGAAACAACCGGAGGAAATTGTTCATCATCGGTATGATGATTGAGCAGAGAACTAATTTCCATTCGAGTGTGTTGGGTTGGCGGTTGTATGTATGGTCCTTCGTAAGCCTTCATGCTTAGTAGGCAAATTTGAGTATTTTCTGTTTCCAAGTCACGAACTTCAAAAAAGTAGCTCATTCAGCTTGGATAATGGGAAAAGGGCAAAGGAGACAATATATGCAGAAGAACATCATTGTCATGGATGAGAGCACCGGAATTAATTAGGGGCTTATATGTCCCATCTTATTGGCTCCAGCTCGTATTCGATCAAGATATGGAACATTGACTTGCAGTGGCCCATTACCGGGCCCTTTGAAGATCCACTTTATTTCCTCATTGCGTCAGCGATTCTTGGCGGCAAGTTTCTTTTTTTTGTTATCAGTTCCTTGAGCTTGCTTTGAGACCCCCACGGGCAACGTTACTAAAATGTCAATAAATCATTTGTCTTCTCTACATGACGAGATGGTTTCCCCAGGCAAATTGTTTTCATGCCGAGCATAGCGAAGGAGACAGGCCGACCGTCAAATAGTGGGTTATTTCACTAAGGATGATGGTGAACTAGCAATAATTTGTGCGTGACTAGTTAAGTCCCACTTGAGTCACGATCTTGGGCTTTGGAGACTCTATGGAAATTGCGCACGGGCCATAGGCAAAACTTTAAAATCAGGTGCAGTGGATACTTGCGACCTGATTTGCCACCGGACCAAGTTTTCCCCACCCCCTGACAGCCATCATTAAGCGTTTCCGTAAATACCTGACTTGCGATTCAAAAGGACCCCACTCAAGACCCTCTTTGAACTTTCTGAACAGACCACATAACTTCGCCCAGTGACCACACTGAGGCTAAGGTCTAGATAGACAGGCTGCCTTTAGCGTGCGATTCGCAAGGTTTCCCATTCAGTCAAATTGAGTTTGGGTTGCCCCGAGAAAACCCCGGGCGTCCAATGGTTCTGAAAGCTATTCAGAACTGACTGAACGGACACACCAGAATGCCTAGATCACTAAACTGTGGCTTCTCTTTCCAAGGCTTCTTGGCTGACATACCCTCCGTTCTCCGAATTCAATTTAACATCGCCGCCATCTACTTGCAGGACAGATTGGCTCGCCGAGGTTGGTGACGTGGCCTTGCGGTCTCTACATATATACGGATAGACTCAAACTGCAAACAGTTTCTCCTGGAAGAATTGTAAATTCGTGGCGACACTATTTAATGTTGTCCTGACCCATACTGTAATGAGCCAAATGTATGTCAAAGAGCAAGCAAGCCTCCTTGGGAGGTAATAGTGGTCGCTAGAAATTTTCTTTACGCTATATAGGGTCTAATAGGCCAGATTGATTTTGTGCCCACCGTACTTCATTTTCAGTTGCTTATCCTGATTTTACAGATCCTCCTTTAAAATTTCACTCATTTGTATCGAGACGGCCATTCTTCTACGGCGATGGAGTGGTCACACGAAGAGCTGATCATCGCCATGTATCTTCTGTCTCGGCGGTTCCTACCCCAGACAATCCGCGATCTACTTCTACGTCGAGGCTTTGACCGCTCTATTTTTGCCATCTAAAACAAATTAGTCCATGTGGCCCAACGACATCTACAGTTGAGGTCGACTGATGGCTAATGGGATTTGAATGCCGTGGATCACTGGATGGGCAATCTCCTTGAGGACCATGAGTGGGGAAGTGAAATAATTCAACCCACAATAGCAGACGCAGAAAATTCATAGTTGTATGTATTTCCTGCGTTAAGCCTTCTATAGTTTATGGCTCACAGTCTTCTGAAAACAGAATGAAGATTTTGACGATTTTAAATCTTTAAGACTCTCTGTGCTTCTATCTGGAGTAGCGGAAGGCTTTCCTCTTAGAAGCACCCCAAATGCGCAGTGCTGAGACAGGGGAAATGAATGGAATGTGGTGAGCAGAAAAGAATCCAGTGTTGACTTTGTGCTAAGAACAGTAATGCTTGAGAACTATCGTCGCGCGCTATCTAGACGGAAAGAAAGTCCATTGCAAATCCAGTTAAGCTTCATATTATACATATCGGCCCTTTTTTCCTCGAGAATAGTAGCAAATTCGCCTTTCACTCAACTGCAATGACATTCTAGGCAACATTAGCATACTAAGGAAAATTAACTTCATGTCAAGTGACTCGGAGAATGGACTATAGAGCTTGGTTTCCAGGCCATGGCTGGTATACGGCAATTGACGTATTGATACAAGACTAGGCTCTTGTGGAAAGGAAGGAAATAACATGATAGCGTCATTTGCTGCTTGTACTTTTTCAGCAAAATAAAAATTGGGTATTTGTTATTATTAGCCTTTGCTCCACCGCTCTATTTTGTAGCAGTTGTCACAATGATCAGAATATTGTCTGAGCACTTGTTTCTTTTCCTCGATTTTATTGTAACCTGATTATAAACAAGGGAGATAGCCCACGTACACTTTTCTATTCCCACAGGAGAGATAAATATAGCAAAGGTTCTAGCACATGCCTGTGTACGCAAAGTAAAACTTTTCAGGTCTGTATGAACACCCAGAATTGTCACATTATGCAGCTGAGTAACTCCGCGGCCAGAGTTACGGGCTGTAAATGGATGCAAGAGACCTCTTGTGCAAGATTGTTTGTGTCTTCCATATATCTATGGAAAATCTCGACTTTCTATTTTTGTACGATAAGCTCGCTGCCGCCTATGCCCTTTTTTTTCTTCCAATAATTTTTTTCTACAGAACTCTACTTGTTGATAAGTAGTTGAGCAGCGGATAACCTCGCTAATACTGTGAGTCTATGTGGAACCGAAAATTTTCCGAGGACACCCCGCCATAGAGGCGAGGTCGGGCCGATGTCGCACGGACCCACTCTGAACAGCATCGGCATGCCGCGATTTTCTCGAGTTTCCGGCAAGGTTCTAGTCTCAATACTGGTAGCATCTCTACTCCATTCACATGGGCTTTAGGTTTGAGCCGAGGAAAAGAGCCTTAGGTCTTGAATAATCGTGTTCAACTCATCATAAAAGCCAATAAAAGACTCCACACACCAGGGCCACACAGTTACACTCTGGCTGCGAAATTTCGCTTAGCAGCTGCGTATAACAGAAATGCTGAGGTTTCCTTGGCTATTGAGCTCCTTGCTGGATTGACGGAGTTGACTCGGAAAGGTGGCTTTTTCTGGTCATAGAATTCCCACACGGTCCTTTTCTGCGGCAACTTTGCTCGCGCCGTATACAATGCTGCCATGGGATTCAGGCCAAGGAGGTCGTGCCCAAGCCAGCTCCGTAATCTTGTCATTCCTCGTATTACGATCCACATGAGTAGAGTTTCCGGGCTGGGGTGTCGTAGCTGCGACAATAGAGCTTGTATAGATAAAGGCCTTAACCGACGATTCTGTTAGTGCTGCTTCCAGGATACGTGTGGCCGCAGCAACTGTTATAGGAATGACAGTTGCAGGATCCGAAGCGAAGGTAACAATACTCGCAACAAGGATAATTGCAGATACGCCCTTTATCGCATCGTTGTAAACACCTTCGGCGGTAAAGTCCTCGACGGTCACAAGTTCGAAGTCACCTTTACTGGCATACTCCTTGAGCGCGCCTTTGACGAGCCAAGATGTGCGATTGATATCCCTCACAGAGCCACGAACTTTGAGGCCACGTTCCAACAACTGCTTGACGATGTGAGAAGCCACGAACCCATTAGCTCCAGTAACAAGAACAAGGGAGCCTTTTTCGATGGTAGCTGTTCTGTGGTCAGACATCATGACGAGGACAATTTGATTTGATAGGGTTATTGTTCTATCTCAAAATCGATTAGCAAGTACACGATTCAAGAAAACTGGAGTCATTCGCAAATATGGGGGAATACTTTTGTGATAACACGGCCTTGTATGGGGATACGAACGGTCACGTTACCCTACTTTTTCTGCCATACGGCACCGCCCTTAAGGCATATTTCTATCCTTTCGTACACTTACTTAGCAAGACACACCTTTCCACCTCCAGAATCTCACTTTAAGTGGAAGGCAAATTGATCAGTCTTCAAAGCTTACTATAATGAGTCATATCGCCTTTGCAACAGTGTTTATATATGTTTATCCTCACAGTTGCATTTATAATATATCCCTCAACTCATAAATTTCGATCTCCGAAACTTAGAAATCCAACTACACGAAGGACGTCACTCATCTATCAAACAGACTGGTCTTCCAAATCGGGAAGGGCCAGTTCTTGGCGGGCAACCGGGGAATTCATTCCTTTGGATCGGAGTAAAGGAAGAGTAAGCGCAGGTCATTACCCAATAAAATACATACATATCCTTAATTCAGTCTCTGGTTTGTTTATAAATTTTTCTGAATGTAAAGCGAAATGCCGAAGATAATAAATGATGTGAATGTACCTGGGTCTTCAGGCAAGCACGTCTTAATTAGATAAACGAAAGGTGGAGGAGTGCTGTAGTATTACTGACGCTCTTACGATCCATCTCGCCGCTTGAAATGTTTCTGTTCACAGTGAATGGGATTCTGCCCCTCTTCACCGCATCCCTTGCCTCAGCCTCCATGATAGATCTAGTTCCATAGCTTCCATCTCTAGAATCTACATCTCTCTTTTTTCCTCCTTCCTTCTCCATATAGTTTCATATAACACGAGCCAGAGAGAAGGCCTCTGGTGGCCCTGATAAGAGCCCTTTTTCCTCAACAAATCTATCGAGTATGATCTCAAGGAACCCAGTTAACCCGAGATGTTTAGGTCCCCCATTGATCTCCACCATTTTACTCGCTGCCCGCACATGGTTTCGAGCCATAATAACATTACCGGTGCCCATATATAGAGGTTAGCTTTAGCTGACAAAGACTGTAGGTGAAGAAAAAAATAAAAATAAAAGTAAACACAAACAAAGAACTTACATCGTCTCCCGCCAGTATAAGCGCTTTGGCAATAGTCAAATCTGGATATTTAGACTTGGATGGCCCAGAAAGCACTTTGCTGAATGTTTGTACACAGAAAATTTATTAAAAATAAAGAAATCAGCACTATTCGGAAGGCTACAGATCGATTTCAAGTTAATCGTTGTACGCTCACGTATCGGCTTCGCGGTACCATAAATCGCGCTAAATCTCGCGTAAATAGTCACAAATTGACCTAAATCGAAGAGGATATACTCTAATAACGGATATTATCGCTAGATCTACGCGGTACAGCCCCTACGCAAGCTTATATACGAGAAATAGCGAATATTCTACTTACGAAGCGCGGTTCTACCCCTATCCAGGCCGTCAGCGAAAAATAGGTATATAACTTTACCTAGCGCCGTCCAGAGCTCAAAGCTCGCTTTTCTCCACGATATAATTACCAGCGAGCCGAATAAGAGAATCCAAAGATTATTTAAGCGTGGTTTAACCTCGTATAAGCTATAATTCAGCAATATAGTATCCTACCGGACAATATCTATAACTTTAACGAGACTAGCTTCATAATAGGCCTCTGTACGGCCTAAAAGGTAATTACCTGTCGGCCGTGAAGGGAGGCGGATACCACGAAGCTTTTCGTGGCGCGGGGTACGCTTTTGTAGATGCTTCCCCACCACGGACCGTTGACTACCCGACCAAGGAAGGCTTGATCGGATAAAGATAGAAAAGAATAAGATAGAGTGTAAAGGGCTTATGCACTCTAAATGAGCACAATCCACAATCCTTAAACAAAGGACTAAGCAGAAGGTCTTTCTAAGCAGATAGAAAGGGATAGTAGAATATTTGAAGAGAGTGAAAGGTCTGTCATTTCTACTTAGTGTCTCGCGCGTATATATAGACAGAAAGTGGTTAAAGTCACATGCTTTATATCAGATAACCAGAATAGAATCAGGGAAGGAAATATAATAGAGCTGATGGCGTGATAAAGAATATGTCATTGATCTAGTGGGGTAAAGAGGGGTAAGCGATTTGGAGGGGTAAATCATGTTCGCATCTCTTTCTTTTCTTCTTCTTCTTCTTATGTTGAATAAGAGGATACCTTCACCTAATGTAGCATTGGTCCAAATTCCAACACCTCGTTTTTAGTGTATAGATGATCGAATTCCGGCGTAAGATGGCTTCTATGACTATTAGGTCCATCGTCGCCAGTCTTGTCGGTGCGGCCGCATAGACTGAACCAAGTTTTGGAAGTGTTATCGATGGGGTGTATGATCGAGTGCATGTCAGCACGGCCGTTGCCATCAAGGTCCGGAAAATAGGTACAAGAGCCCTTAAAAGCACCTTGAAACTTCTTCCCAACAGGATCCCACCAGTAGCGCGAGCCACCAATATCTTTTCGACCTTTATTGTGCCAGACAGTGCCGTCGCTATTGAACTTGTCGGTATGGATCATATCCGCTTTACTATCACTATCAACGTCGGCCTAGTGGAGATTGGCTCGATCTTTCCCTTCGGAAAATTTGAATTAATCGATATATTTAAAGGACCCTGTTTTTAACTAGGTCCATCCCTAAGATCGACTATCCTTTTAAACGCAAAGGTAGTCGGCTCTGCCATTTCCTGAGACACCGGCTATATAAACGGGGTTATTGAATTGACTAATTCCACGTTTTTCTGGACAATAGGGATCTGGCGCCGGATTTGTATAGTATTCCTAATTAAAATCCCTAGTATATTTAATGCGATTGCGCCACAGACTAACACGGTTATCGTTATCTAGATTAGTCTAGATAATATTATAGGCTCTATCTCCATCCTAATTAACGAGATATAGATCTCGACGGTTTAGGTCCTTTTTTGGCCCTATAGTGTGGGGGTCGAATATACCTTTATTAGGACCCCAGAAACTCAAACCGTTATTAGGAACACCGCCGATACCCTTATTTAGGTAGATATATATACTTCCCTTACTAAGAATCTAGATATAATCTATTATGCTATTATTATATCCTATTATATTATAGTATCAATTAGTATCCGCTAAGCTATATTAGTAAAGGTCTATTCTATAATTATTAGAGAGCTAGAAATAGTGTCTTAGTTAAGTAAGTGCTCTTACGTTTGATTTTAGTAGCTTCGCTTCCTATATTTTTAAACGCGTGGAACTTATATAAATATTTTTCCTTTCTAGCTTTGCTGACTTCGAGGAAAATATAGTCTTGGCGAGTATATAAACCAAAGTCTTATTTAGTTCCGTAGATTCTCGGAAAATAGATTATATTCCGGTTAACTTTGCCTTTATTGAAACTAGTTATACCACTATAGGTTAGTCCTAAGCTATATCTAAGTTAAAAGCCTTAACGCTAAATAATATTGAGTCCGTCGCCTTCTATGCCTTTAATATAGCTTCGGGAATTAGTCTAACTATAGGTAGCACTATCATTATTAACCTATAGCTAGTTATCTTAACCCTATAAATTATATTAAATTTCCTTTTCTTTTTATATATATATTTGTTGGAATTTAGACCAATGCTACATTAGGTGAAGGTATCCTCTTATTCAACATAAGAAGAAGAAGAAGAAGAAGAAGAAGAAGAAGAAGAAAAGAAATGCGAACATGATTTACCCCTCCAAACCGCTTACCCCTCTTTACCCCACCAGATCGATGACATATCCCTCATCACGCCATCAGTTCTATCACATTTCCTTCCCTGATTCTATTCTGTTTATCTGATATAAAGCATGTGACTTTGACTACTTTCTGTCTATATATACGCGCGAGACACTAAGTAGAAATGACAGACCTTTCACTCTCTTCAAATATTCTACTATCCCTTTCTATCTGCTTAGAAAGACCTTCTGCTTAGTCCTTTGTTTAAGGATTGTGGATTGTGCTCATTTAGAGTGCATAAGCCCTTTACACTCTATCTTATTCTTTTCTATCTTTATCCGATCAAGCCTTCCTTGGTCGGGTAGTCAACGGTCCGTGGTGGGGAAGCATCTACAAAAGCGTACCCCGCGCCACGAAAAGCTTCGTGGTATCCGCCTCCCTTCACGGCCGACACGAGGTAATACCTATATATATACCACCGTATAGCTCACGTCTATTATAGCCACTAGATATAAGCTATTTCGCAGTTCTAAAACGATCATATGGCCGCCTGGTAGACTAACAGACGCGTATGGGTATTAACTATATTGACAAGCTCGATTTCCTTGCAGCCTACCTATACGCACGCGAAGACGCATTTCAGGCTAGAAGCATCTAAAATGCATTCAAAGCGACCGGTTTAATCCTATTAAATGCGGTAGAAGTCCTTGATAAACTGAATATTCAGCTTCGTCCGCCTACGCCAGACCGACCATCAAGCCGATCAAGTATTTATTGCCCTGAAACACCAAGCAATTTCAAGCAGCTTTCAAAGCATAGGGCATCAGTAAGACGGCTTATTAAATATCGGTCTGATAGCCCACCTACGCCTACTAAAGAGGCATTTGATCAGGCTTATAAGGCATGTGAAAAGGTTATTAAGGGTATACTTCTGTTGGCGTAAGAAGTGGTAGATCTACGCGCTGCAAACTATACCAAGTAGAAAAAAAGGTTATTACCAAGAAAGCAGATACAGCGCGATGAGGGCTGGTTTGTTCATGAAGCCTATGAGCAACGTATTGGTCTACTAAGTGGTATAGAAGGTGGTGGGGTATCCTCTGCAGCACCCACCCAGAGGCCTTCAGGGACCGGTGATCGGACCAACAAATGTCAATATACATGCAGCATATGCAGAAGACCTGGTCATGGGGCTAATAGATGTCCCGATAAAGTTTAAATTGAATATAAAGGCGTTGTGG